AGATACCCTACATAAAAAGGGCCTAGAGCACGTAGCATTTTAAGATGTTTAACTGCATTTAAAAAAAGCATTGTATTATTAATTTATATATAAATTAAGAAATATATAAGAAATGAGCATATATATATATTTTTTTTAATTTATTTATTTGACAGAGAGATAGCACAAGTAGGCAGAGCGGCAGGCAGAGGGAGAGGGAGAAGCAGGCTCTCCGCTGAGCAGGGAGCCCGACGCAGGGCTCGATCCCAGGACCCTGGGATCGTGACCCGAGCCAAAGGCAGCCGCTTAACCGACTGAGCCACCCAGGCGCCCCTGAGCATATATTTTTAAGCCAGCATTCTACAGGGATGTGGGTACAGCAAGGTAGGCATTCTAATGGACTGCCAAGTGGGAATGTAAACTTGTTATAACCTTCCTAGACAGCAATTTGCAACATGGATCGAGAGATTTTGAAATGGCACACTTTTGGGCACCTGAGTGGCTCAGTTGGTTAAGCGACTGCTTTGGCTCAGGTCATGATCCTGGAGTCCCAGGATGGAGTCCGGAATCAGGATCCCTGCTCAGCAGGGAGTCTGCTTCTCCCTCTTGCCCCCCCCCTTTCATGTGCTCTCTCTCTCTCATTCTGTCTCAAATAAATAAGTAAAATCTTAAAAATAAATAAATAAATAAATAAATAAAAATGGCACACTTTTGGACCTAGTAACTTGCCTTCTATGCATCATTCCTAAGAAACAGTCAGATATATGGGTGAAGATTTAAGGCCCCTCTCTCTGAGAGTACAAGGAGAAGATAAAGGAGAGAAGTTTGTAAAATGTACAGCTCCACGATGCACAGAAGGGAAGAGGAACCGAGGAGAGGGTAGGACAGAGGAGCTCAGATAATGCAATGCTTTGGAAGTCAGTGGAGGAGAAAGTTTTAAGAAATCATGGTGGTCAGACGTCAAACTCTGCAGTAGGGCAAAAAGGATGAAGACTCAATTCAGACCATTAAATTTAGTTATTAAATAAAATAGTAACTAATAAATTTCATTGTCAAGAGATTGTCAGTTTTCAGGACAGTTTCATTGAGTGCAAGTTCACAAGGGCTTTGGTGTAAGTTAGTGAGTGGTCAAGAGTAAGGGATATCTGATTGAAACTACACTCCTAAGTACCCGACAGTGAAGAATGTGACCAACAGACATTTAGGGGGACCTACTCTGGGAGGGGAGAGGGTAGTGAAAAACAAAGGTAAATGAAGTCCAACTCTCGTCCCCAAGGAGTTTACAGTCTGCTAAATCTCTTAGAAACTGGCCTCAGTAGGCACTGTTCATTAATCGGTGACCTCCTCAGTGTCAGATTTTCAGGTCCTCCATTTTCCCCTCCATGTGGAATACACTTATGAAACCCTCTTCAAGATTTTCTAGTGGTCTTCTAACTCATCGCTGTCGTGCTTGCAGAATTTCTATCCCAGCTCTTTTACTAATTGCTGTGGTTTGGGCCAAGCAAAAGGAAAAGTCCAGTGTTCTGGACATCCTGTGTTGCTATGACACCTTAAATTAACAAGCAAAGACTAGAAATCTATGGTTTCTTTCTCTAAGAAATCAGCCAATTAATCCCTCTGGTCCGAATTATTTACACTATGGTGAAAGTGAATTTAATGGCCCTGCCAATTCATGTGAGGTGATGTGACAGAGTCTGACATGAGGCTTATTTGCTTTTCTGAGAGGCAGCAGTGAGTACACAGGAGGCCAATCCCACTCTGCCCCCCAGGACTCCTACAATCAATGATTTGCATCTAAGAGATGATAGGATGATCTCTAAACTTGGGTCAATAAATCAAAGGGATGCCACTGGCCTATTGGACAACCACACTCAGGGAGATACTCATTCAGGAGACCCCGTGGATGGTCAAGGTGTTAAACCCAAAATACTGTTGCAACTCACACATAAAAGAAATGGGAGCAGACATTATAGCTCCTCTGATGAAATCAGCTACTGTTGAAAAAAACTGGGGAGAGCATTTAACTGGGGGAAGGAAAAAGCATGCAAGGTTAAAACCAAGCTTCCTGGCTTCTTGGGGCTTGCGTCCTAAGGAGGAGAGGCCGGTGAGGCTAATCCTGATGAGCCGACAGCGATTGTGGGAAAGAATAATTCAGTGTTAATCATGATGTCTGTGCTTCCCTCCTCCTTTTCAGTGTTTTCAGGAGTGATTTCTTTGGCTATCTGGGCCATCTGTCTGCTGAGTCTTTGAGACCGGCCCTTGCACTCATTCTCTTCCTTCTATACTTGTTTTATTGTGAGAGAATAGTGGTATGTTTTATATAAAAGCTGATGGATTTCCTTAATTGCTGATTTTTTTTTTTTTTTAATCTGCAGAAGCTGGGAAGCAGACAGGCAGAGTTATCAGTTATTCCTTTGCCATTCGAGGTCTAATGTTACCATCACTAAAAAACACTTTCAAAGCAGAGTCCCGAATAAATAAGAGAACAAACTGGTGGTTGCCAGAGGGGAGTGGTGGGGGATGGGTGAAATAAGTGATGGGGATTAAGAAGTACACACTTCCAGGGGCACCTGAATGGCTCAGCTGGTTGAGCGTTGGACTCTTGATTTCAGCTCAGGTCATGATCTCCGGGTCCTGAGATGGAGCCCTTGATGGGCTCCGTGCTCACGATGGAGTCTGCTTGAGATTCTCTCTCTCCCCGTCCCTCTGCCCCTCTCCCCACTCTTGCTCACTCGCTCTCTCTAAATAAATAAATAATTAAATAAATAAAGTCTTTAAAAAAAGAAGGTACAAACTTCCAGTTATAAAATGAGTCAGGAGGATGAAAAGTACAGCAGAGGGAATATAGCCAATGGTATTGTAATAACTGTGTGGTGACAGATGGTGACTACACTTACCATGCTAACTATTCCATAATGTATATAAATGTTAAATCACTATGTTGTACCCCTGAAACTAATATAATATTGTATGTCAATTATACTTCAATTAAGGGTAAGAAAATGAAAAATAAAAGCAGGGTCCTCGCTGTTTCTGGTTGCTGTTGTCCCCACAGGTCTCAGGAAATAATTTTTGGACCCATTCTTCCCATACTTCCTTTTGTTCATTCCACCCTTCTTTTTTTCCTTCCCCCTCTCCTTCCTCTCTTTCTTCCACAAAAGTTTATCGAGCATGATGTGTTTAGAGTGCTAAATGCTGGAGATACAGGGATATCGAGAAAACTGTGTTACGTAGACTTAGGGGAGTCAAAGTCAGCTGGGGAAGAAGCCATTACACTTGTGATTCCCTGTTCAAAGTTGAGTGTCTCAAAAGGATGAGTAGATTAGGGTGTGAAACAGAGGTTGCTAATCAGGTCTGTGGATAAATGAAAGCCTTTCTTAAAGAAATGACATTTACACTGAGGCCTGAAAGATAAATGTGTCATATTTATACGTGATTTGAGTCAGGGCTAACACTTTTCCCATATTACTTTATTAAGTCTCCTGGCACCTCCATTTCTGCCTTTTAGGGGAAAAAAAAAAAAAAAAAAGCCTATACACTTTATCATCTCATGTGCTTGTTAGAATTTAAGACTAAGGGCGGGGGGCGCCGGGAGGATTCGAGGATTTGGGAAGGATGCCACTAACAATGTTGTGTTGGGTTCTTTTAAGCAAATACATATTTAGTTTAAACTGAGTATCCAGAAGTTGCTTAAAAGATTTCATTGGTTCGTGAACTCTGAGGAATCCCTGTGAGAATAATATCAGAAAACTCACAATGGACCTGAACACAAATAACTGACCAGCAAGAGAATAAATTCAGGTAAACATAGGTTAACTTACCTTTTGGAAAAAAAAATAATAATGTCAAATACTATACTGTACAAGTTCCTTATAGAAATAAATGGACTCCGAATTTTTAGGGAACCAATTTCAGAAAATCATTGGTGGCACATGGATTTGAGGCCTTTGTTCAACTAGGATCTCTGTGGGAAAAGGGTGGAGAACAAGCTCCAGGGGCCTGACAGTATCTCTACCAGGCAGCCCCAGAGGGTGATGGGGGTTGGGCTCATCGGCACAAAATGATGGATTAAGATTCACAGCATTCTCTAAGGAAGCAATTCCTTGTCTGTTTCCAAATTATGGCTCTGAACACCCAATTCCCTTTTTCATAATTAATTTCCCTACAAAAGTGGCATTTTAATAAAGGTTTGAAAAATTGAAAAGCTGTGTAAGACTAGAAATAGCAATTGGAAGATGCATCATTTTATTAACAAGAAAACCCTGCCTGTGTTTCTCTGTATCTCTTTGCTTCTAGGAAAATTTTAAAGCAAAGCACAGGGCACATACGTATAATGAGAAGTGAGATGTGCTTTGAGGAAAGGAGAAAAACCTAAAATTTAGAGCAACTGATTAAGTTTTAAGACCACATCAGTAAATTTATAGTTGAAATTTATCTCACTTCTACCATCTGGCCCAGAGGTTCCCAAACTTTCTCAGTTCATGGCATCCTTTGTATCATTTTTTTCACAGCATCCCTAGGGCGAACAGTTCTATTTGTTAGTTTCAACCTTCTGAATAGATTTGCATGTTCTGGCAAATTTGTAGCTTTTTTAAAAAAACTAATACATGTAGATTCAAAGAAAAATATTTTTATTTCATTCTCAAATAACCATAGCAACTTATTGATAGGATGTGGGTACCTATTATTCACCACAAATTTTTCCTCAAACTAGACTCCATCACTCACCTCCTCATTTCTTGCTGCACATTGATTTTTGGGGGTTACCTGTTTTTTTTTCTTCTCATGCACCTAAAAGAGTTCCTGGCATAAAGCAAGTGCTTTAAAAATATTTATTAAATGAATCCAGAACCATTGGGGTTGGGGAGACCTGAATTTCCATCTGGCTTTACTCTAAACCAACTCTATGACTTTGGACTTAACCTCTGTGTCAGTTTTTATTCTTCTAAGACATGGATAATAAAAATGAATGACTACCTGGACTCTTCTAATGATTAAATGAGCCTTAAAAATCTCAGTACAGCTTTGCACAGTGGCAGTATTGTAGCCAATGAGGTTTATCCAAGGCGCAATTATTGCTAATTGAAAAATCTCAGCACAGTGTCTGACATTTGTAACTGCTTAATGAGTGATACTTTTTAATATTACTACTACTACCATTCCAGGTCTTTTTTTCCTTTCATAGTTAGCAAGTCTTCTAGAAGGCATATTTTAAAATCTGACCACAATAAATAACTACAGTCAAAATACCAAAGGGAAACAGAGGATTAGAATTATATTGAAGGAATTCCTAGGTCTATTCTAAATGAAAATTCAGAGGTGGAGTGGAAATAGCATCAAAAACCTAGTTTAAATCAGACTTCTGCCTCTCAACAGCGTTTCTGCCCCTGAAACTCTCTGACCCTCATTTTCCTTTTCTGTTGAATGAGGGAGAAATAATACTTCTCAGAGGGATGCCATTAGGAAAAGCAGAAAAAATAGTTTCCTTCATCTCCATGTAGAAAAGAAGCTGAACATGCTCGCCTGGTGGAATTCTGAGTCCCAAGGCTCGAGACTGAGAGGAGGTCTCATATCAGTATCCACGATAGCATGTTCCCTATTTAATCTTGACATAGGCTCTCTAACACTTGGCCACTTTATCAATCAGAGTTTGGTTTAGAAAACAGAAGCCACTGTAAGTCTTTTATACTGAAAATAATCTAATGCCACGTATCAGAGACTTACACAACAGCTGGAGAGGCTGATGGAATCAGGAGACGATATGTCATGATAGCTTCTGCTAGCTTTCACCCAGATGAATGTATAAGAGTTGCAAGGAACCACCTTTGCTGAATCACAGGTGGACACCCCAAAACTACTGTCAAAACCCCACAGCTGCTGTCTGCTAAAGCCCATGTGCCTTCTCATCACTGCTGAAGAAGTGATGGCTTTTCTTCTTCCATCTTCCATGTGAGACCTTCTCATGGATTAGAACGTAAAACAAAGCCCTCCTGGCAAGGAAGTAGAAGAAAAGTAGTTTCCAGGCTTCTAGGCTTTGCAATACTAGAGACTGTAGAAGAAAGCAGGAATGCTAACAAGAAGCCAGTATCAAAGACTAAGGTGGGGAAGGAAGGATATACTTAGGTATGAAGATCCAAGTGTCCAATACAGGGACTTGAAGGCAGAGCAGCGGTAAAGGACAGGGCTAAGACTAAGCCTCCAGGAATACAGGGGCTAATCAGCAGCTCCACCTTTTCTTTAGGACGAAATCAGGGAATAGCCAGAGTGGTATCATGGGTACACAGTGCAGTTAGGTGACGGACTTCCCAGATGATATGTACCGTCATGTCATCTTCCTTGGTCAGCCTTTCCAGGATCCCACACCTCCAAGGCAGCCCCTGGGTTAACCTGGCTCTCACTGAGACCCTCATTCTGAGGTCAGAGCATGCTGGTGGAGGGTACCTGGGGCTGGTGCTAAAATGTATTCCGCTTTGGGCATTTATCAAATGGGGTCCCTTTTGCTGATCCCTGGTGTATCAATATTATGAGAAAGGAGAAGTAAAAAAACAACTTGAAATTGTTTCCATCTCATGCATATCCACAGACATTCTGGATGGCAAAGTTTCACTAAAATCGTAGATAATTCCATTGTATAGGCTTCAACATCCTCTTAACTCTCACCATAAACTTAAAGTTATTTTTCCTTTTTTAAGGAAACAGTCGTGACAGTTTTTTTTTCTCAAGAAAATGACATCAAGGTTTGTAGATACCTGTTCTCAGAAAGATAAATTCGCCATCGTTGTAGCATATGGAATATATGTTTGCTAAGTTCCTCTGAGAATCTTAGCTCAAAAATCCTGCCAGCTTATTTCTTAACGTCAGTCTCAAAAACTGGAGCTGCTTATTGAACTCAACTTATTTCCGTCCTCAGGGATAATAAAAGGAGCCAGAGAGCAGTGTACTTAGAATTATCCTTAAGATAGACAAGTTCGTCTGTGGGTATACCCCTGCAAATATGCGGAGAAAAACCTGCTAGCACTTTTGGAAGAATTCGCTTCACACACAGTAGATTAAAAACCATGTGATGATATCTGAGCGTCAGGTAATTCTGTTTTGAATAGAGAATGAAAAGGCAGCAGAATAATTCTTTGAATGGCTCCTAGACCTGTTGGTGTCTTAAAATTTCTGTCCCAATGCGGATCTCAAAAGAACAAACATTAAGCCTAGTCAAGACAAGGAATTTACCCATGACTTCAGCAGACTCCTAATGAGTCTACTAGGGGTTTGTGGCCCCTCTCCCCAATTCCCAGTCGGGAACAGGTGCCTTACAAAACCTCCGGTAATGGGGCAGAAAAAAGGTTAAGATAAGTTGTACCAGGGGATGGTAAAAACACAAATATTCAAAGACGACGGTTGTCTAATGGGCTGCAGCTGTTCCAGCTCTGCTCCTTGTAATGATCTGAGGGTTTCAGTACCATGGGGATCATTTATCAGTGACCACCAACACCCACTGCCAGGCACTGTTATAAATCTAAAATCTTTTTTTTTTTTAAGATTTTATTAGAGAGAGAGAAAGAGAGAGAGCATGAGAGCGGGGAGGGTCAGAGGGAGAAGCAGACTCCCCGCCAAGCAGGAAGACTGATGTGGGACTCGATCCCAGGACTCCAGGATCATGACCTGAGCCGAAGGCAGTCACTTAACCAACTGAGCCACCCAGGCGCCCCTAAATCTAAAATCTTTTAACCAATCTTTTAACTTTTTTAAAATCTTTTTTTTTTTTAAGATTTTATTTATTTATTTGACACAGAGAGAGACACAGCGAGAGAGGGAACACAAGCAGAGGGAGTGGGAGAGGGAGAAGCAGGCTCCCCGCTGAGCCAGGAGCCCAATGTGGGGCTCGATCCCAGGACCCTGAGATCATGACCCGAGTGGAAGGCAGATGCTTAACGACTGAGCCACCCAGGCCCTCTAATTTGTTTAAATCTTTTAAACAAGGCTATGCTATTATTATAGTCATCTCACAGTTGAGAAAACTGAAGCATAGGGCAATTTAGTGCCTTGCCCTCACAGACAGCAAGGGATCAAGCTGGGATTAAGACCCGGGTGGTCTGACTCCAAAGGCCATACTTGGAACTCTTGGGACACTTGTCCCAAATTGTTAAGGCAGGATGTCCCCACTTACATGCTGTATAAATTGCTTGCCAATATCAAATTTCCAACTGCTATCCTAGGTACTTGGTAGGAGCTGGTGGGAGGCTACAGAAAGATGAGTTGCTTCCCCAGATGAATTTTAGAAGACCTCTGAGAAAATCCACGAATTCTGAAAGACCCAAGGCCAGGCTCCACATCTACTCATTACTCAGACCACTCCTCCCTTTGGAGGCACTCACAAATTGTTCTGGCCTATTTCATCGCCAAGTAGGATCAGAATATATGATAGCAGACTAGTCAGTGATTCTGCCAGGCCCTCTATGCAGTGGGATAGGCCATTTCCTAAGCACTGCTCTTTGGGGCCATTTAACCTTGTCCCCTGCTGAAGCCAGCAGACCCAGGAAGCATTAAAAATCAGGCTGCCCGCCTGGGCAAGGTGCAGTGCTAGGGAGATCACACGTCTGAATTTGTCTGGGCAACAGTCTTGGTTTACTTCTGTTGCAGTGCAATGATGAATAGCACCCACTTTTACTTTCAAGAGCCTCCCGGTGTGGACTATGAGTAATGACATTGTCACCGTGGACATCATCCACCTCTTCTTGTGCATAGCCAGGAAGGAGCCCCATGGTTGGCTCCTTTGGGGGGAATGAGATGCTAGATGCATCCTCTAGAAATCAGGGACTCAGCAGCTCTGTGGATACCTAGATCTGAGCAGAAAGCCGGATGACTTCAAGGAGATCTGGGATTATGTGACCATTTCTAAATTTCTTTCTGAGAGTTTTAAGCTAAGTATAAACCTTTCAGAAAACTTTTTCCGTTTATGGATTTTCTCTCATCACATATGCAAAGCAACTATTTTAAAAACTTGCTCCCAAAGCTATTATTTTCAAAAGTAACACATCACTGTTGGTTTCTCTGTTCTCCAAGAATCCTCCATTAGCATAAGAGGAAAAACACACAGCCAGACTACATATTACCATGAAAGGGGTCACCTGAGGGAATTAGGGAAAGCCTGATTGACAGATAGGTAATAACAACTGAGCCATGACTCCCGCTCATCAGTCACAAGTTCGAGCAGCCATCAGGAGTGAGTAGGTGGGCCAGGAGAACTGGGTACACACGATTCTCCAGAGAGTCCATTGTCTTTGGGTCATTCACTTTCAATACATATCTAATTTGTTTTCAGTTTGGTAGTGGTAGGAAGATGATAGACCGGATTGGAGCAGAAGAGTAATAAAGGACTAGCCAGGACCTGATTGTTAGGGAGAGGTTGAAGAGGCTAAATCTAAGCATTGCCTGCTTCCAAAATTTGGTTAAGCCAGTTGTGCACAGGGCCCCAGTCAGCCCACAACTTCTCTCACTCATCCTGCACACTAGAAACACGACTTAATGCCCCAACCATCACCCTCCTCACCTCCCTGCCCAAACCACAAGCAAACTGAATCTTGAAGTGCCTCCACACCCAGAGAATCTGGTGACAACTTGGAGCAGCAGCCTTCTGTGTAGATGTCCAACAAAACTGACCTTCTCTCCCAGACATTCAAAGGGCATGAGGGGTCACTGACAAGCGTTCACCAAAAAGATTTGAGTGAGTGAGTAGAGGTATCAAACTCTGAAGAATGCATTAAAATAGCATTTGCTTCAATTTTTAGAACTCTCCTATCTGAGGCTAATGTGGCCAAGAGCAAGAGGCAACCCTGAATGCCACCCATATGTATTACATGAGTAAGGTATCTGAGGCCTTGAAATGTACCCACCCTGTATAGACCCCCAGTGCTGAGCCCAGCAACATTCTGGCTTCACTCACCTCGGCTTTACTCACCTCACCTCCACCCTACATTCTGTTAAACTCCCTGTGAAGCTTCTCCAAAGCTGGAATCCTGGAACATCATGGTATGGGATGCTCTGTGTGGAGGAAACCAAAAACTTGATTTGGGAAAAACCTTTGATACACCAGAGTTGGCACTCAGTACTTCCATTATCTCAGCCAGATTCCATAGGGAATTGTCTTTTCTTCCATCCTGAG